GGGACCATGCTCAGCCAACTGAGCCACAGCGGCCAGGGTCTTAAGACAATAAGATATATCACCTCACCTTTTTCTGACCGAATTATTTTACATAAAGGGAATATATTAATACATTTTAGCATAACTACATGAATTCACACAGGGAAACTATGTTCAACTACTTCACAAGTCACTGCTAATTTTCTATCTTTTCTCTTCTGTTAAGCAGTGAGTGTGTGTGGGAAGCTGTGACATTTATATTGCTTTTGCCCTGATCATAAAGATTGCAAACTGGGCTCCTAGGGTCCTAGGGCTGCCGTAATGAAGCCCCAACGGGTGGCTTAAAACTGCAGACATTGTGGACTCGTGGTTTTGAAGCCACGAACCTTTATGAAGGTGTCGGCAGAGCCAGGTCTGTCAGGCTCGGTCCAGCTGTGGCAGCTGCCCCAGTCCTTGCCTTGGTGTCCATGGCTGTGGCTGCATCACTGGACTCTGCCTCTGCCATCGTGTGGCCCCCATGGGCCTGTGTCTGTTTTCTCTTCTTTAAGGGACTGTGTCATAGGATCAGGGCCACACTCCTCCCTGAGAACTTAACTTGTCTCCACCTGCAAAGACCCTATTTCCAAATGAGGTCACAGTCCGTTTCCTAATAGAACCTCTGGCAGTGCTATGAGGGGACAGCTCACCATGGAGCCGGCGGTGTGGTCTCAGTTGCCATTTTACATTGCTATGCTCTCTGGTTCTTCAGAAATGATGTTTTCACAAGTTACCTCATCTTTCGTAGACATGTAGAGAATGTGACATCTGATTAATGAATGCTATTAGGTGTAGAATTTTAAAATGTGCAAAAATATATCTAGAATAGATAGAAGGAATTTAACATATACCTGGCACAGTCCGTAACTGGTAATAGGCATTCACTAAATGTTTATTGAATGAATGAATGAATGAATGAATGAGTCATATAGTCAAGATACTGCCCATAATTTCATTTTCCTTTGATAATTCAGAATAATTTCTACAGGTAAAATGTAGCAAAGTCCAGGTTAAGGGGTCACTCCTGCTTGACTGCTGATGCCCACGGGCTTGTGCATTTGGATTCACTGGCTCAAGACGCATTCTGTGTGTTGCCGTCTCCCCAGCCTCCAGTCTGTGGCCTTTCTCTTTGGATTGGTGCATGTTGTTTCCTTTAACACATGTAATTACTTTTGTTGACCAGTCAACAACAATGTGCTTTGGTTTGGTCTCTCCAACTAGAAAATTACCCACTTCATCATGTACAGGATTGCCTGCCCTTCAATCTGTTTTTCTCTGTGTGGACATTCAATAAATGTGTTTTGATTATGGTGATAGTATTTATGTTTCTTTACTAATGGTTACTTCCATTTTCCATGTAATCCAATACAGAGAAAAGTAACCACCAAGACAAAAACCAAATTACAGTATAGCCCAGACCTTACAAATGAAAGCTGTTTCCTCAGTATTAAAACTGCCTCTTATCTCTGCAGGACCTCCATGGGGATTGAAAATGCAGCACACAGAGTTTAAAAGAAAAAACACGTAGTATCAGAGAAATAAATTCAAGACAAAGACAAAAATGCCAAAATTCAAACTGAAATGTTCCCAGCTACTATGTCTCAAGCTGCAAATGTTTCCCATTTCAGTCTTTTTCTTGACAGATAGTCAAGTGTTTGCTAATCAAACCTGTCATTAAAGCCAAACATTTTTCTAAAAACCTGATTGAGAATCAAAATATTTAAACCAACTGAAGGGATTTATTTTCTTAAAGAGAGGGAGGTGAAAACCAGCTCCTGGGAGAAAGCTTTCGTTTCAGTCATACTTTCGTCCCTTGTTTTCTCTGCAAGAGATTTCAGGTGGCTCCCATCGCAGGAGCCTGTTTTCATGGAAAATCAGCAGGTGGCCCAGTTATTCGGATCAGCTGGGCAGGGAGCAGCCCAAAGCCAGGGCTTGGAGCCATTTCCCAGCAAAGGAAGGGGAGGGACCGTTCACTCTCCTCCCGCTGCCACCTGTGGTTACGGGAGGGGCAGTTGCCAGTGCGCAATGTTCTTTTCTTTCTAATATCACCTCCGCCCTCGTCAGTAAATGGCTGATGCAGTGAAGTGCTTTCTGACCCCATTTTCTCCCTGATGTCACAGGAGAGAAAAGCTAATGAGCCCGTCACCCCGAAATGGTTTCAATACCAAAACCATTGCAGGCCAGCGTGTCTGTTACCAGCTTCAGCGTCATCGTCCTCTCTCCTGCCCTTGGAGGGAATTCTCTGTACGTATTTCTCACTCACTCCCCTGCCCGGTGCGTTTCCCATTCTCCCTGAGGGCTTTCCCGTGACAACTCCAGTTAGTTAGATGGTGTTTCTGGGTTTAAGACAAAATGAGGGTCCTGCCCCTGCTGGGCTGTCAGAGCTTCTGAAAGCTCTGATGTTCGTTCCTGAACACTGTGTTTGTCCTCCTCTCTCTTGTGTTCAGTTGCGACACGTGATGGGTCTCTGCCCTGTGGTTTCCTGCAGCATTTCAGTCATGACTTTGCCTGTAAAACCTCCTTGTGCTCCGTGCGAAATTGGTGTGTTTATGACACCGGGGCTGGTTCTTTACTGTCAAAATAAAATCAACGTCTTTGCCCTAACCGGTTTGGCTCAGTGGATAGAGCGTCAGCCTGCAGACTGAAGGGTCCCAGGTTCGATTCCGGTCAAGGGCATGTACCTGGGTTGCGGGCACATCCCCAGTGGGAGTGTGCAGGAGACAGCTGATTGATGCCCTCTCCCTTCCTCTCTGTAAAAAATCAATAAAACATATTTTTAAAAATAAATAAAATTAACATCTTTGAGGGGAGCCACAGGGAAGAGGTCAGGAGGAAGAGGTGACGTCATCGTGCTGCACAGGACTCTAGGCCTCGATGAGGACGTGCCTGACGACGTGCCTGACGGGGGAGAGGGCACCGAGCCCCAGCGCCTCTCCCAGCTGTTTCTGCGATGGGATGGGTAGAGGATGCTGTGCCAAGGGCAGGAGGGGGGCGGGTCCTCGCCTGTGAGGAAGCTGCTCAGTTGCTGCCAGAGGATCTTTTACCTGGAGAAGAAGAAGGTTAATTCACAGTAGAAAAAGGGATTGATAGACAACTGGGGATCTGGGCTCACGTCGCTGTGGGAGTTTTAAGACAGAATGAGTTGTTATGAGTTGTTCTGTTCCCTAAAGAGCTAAATATACCACTCAGTCTCCCACTATACCTTGTTTCCCAAACATAGTCTTTGGGAATCTGTTCAAGATTATCTCCTTTCTGCTGAATAATTGTGTGTATTTGTCCCAATTACATGCAGTTTATGATATCCATGTTTTCTCTCATTTATAAAATACCAAGAAAAGTACAAAAAAATGTTTGTTAAATAATGGCTAGGTTGCTTCTATATAGGTGTGAAGCTATGCAGTATTGCCTTTATATTATTATACTTGGGATTCAACTCTTTTATAAAAAATTAGCTATTTATGTACCTGTTTACAAAAAAATTTAAAATCAGAATATTTAACCTACTCCGTAATGGTTTCTACCACCACTTAGTGTATTAAAGCCATTGCCCGTGGTCTCTGGTACAGTGCGGATGTTTTTCCAGCTTATCATTCGATTGGATCCGTTTCACCTACAGGGCTTCTCTGTATCTGAGGAATTGCCAGATTTCCATGTGGTGGGACCTGTGCTTGTCTCCCTGCCCTTGGTGGGTTCTGAAAGCTCCCCACACAGGGTTGCTTTATTTTTGCTCTTTTGGGTTCTGTGCTCTGTGTTCATCTGACCTCTGGAGCCTTATTTCCCTAATGTTATCGAATAAACACCTCTAATCAGGGCAGCCTGATCCCTGTCCACCATGGCCTCAGCTGATCGTCAGCTCCCGTTTCACACCTGCTGGCTCTCCCAAATCATGTGCACATTTCTTTAGTCTGGTTTGACCACCTTCTCTGAACTCGCAGGGGCAAGCAGACTGCACCACTCCAATCAGGGACATTGTGAGCAGCCCTGAGACCCCTCTACTAGCCCAGGGCGGGGTAGCGTCCCAGCGGGAGTGGGAGAGGCCAGCCATCCCCACAGGGAGACCAGGAGGTGCTGGCTTCACTCTGATGATAAGGACCCTATTTGTGGGGCATTGGACACATTAGCTTTCCCTTCAGGCCTATTGAGTGTTGGGGAACTGGGGAGCACACTGAGCCTTCTGAAGGAGAAGGGGAGAAGGCCGCAGGCAGATCACACTTCCCCGCAAACTGGGTTCGAAGCGCACGAGTCTGTGGAGGGAGTCTGGGCCCGGCTGGGAGTGAAGGGGAGCACGGGCGCCACAGGCCCTGTGTGCTGCTGAGTGGGCAGTGGTGTCTTGAGCTACAGGACACAGTCCCTGTGACCCACACAGGCTATTCCGCTGACGCCCAGGCTCGGCTCTCCCAGGCCATCTCCCCTGTGGCCTGGGCCCTGCGACTGTGGGCTCGGCCTCCCACTGGGTGTGTGCCAGGTCCACACGCTCCATGTCCTTAACCCTCAGAGCAGCTGGGCTCACAGGGGCAGGTCCCCGTGACTGAGGGACATCCGCACAGAGAAGGGGTCTGACCTCACTTTACAGCATAAACCGAGAGCCCGCACTTGCTTGTACATGCGGAGACCTTCCCATAAGTGTAGCCCACATGACACGCTGGCATCACACAGGAGATGCACCAGGACGGGCTAACGCGACCTCCGTCTTCACTGCGCGGAGCACACGGAATGTTATGTGCACCATCTTCCTTCTCACTTTATTTCCTGCTGCCAGTGGGAGTGAACCATGTAGAAGGTGCTTTAAGCTGGATCTTTGCAAAAAAACAGTTTTTCATAATTTACAGACTTAACCCATGAAAATGACTCGGAAAGACATGACTGAGGTAGATAGAAACTATGCGTGGCTGGTACAGCTGGACTCTGTTGGGCCTGTTGGGGGTCATTCATCACGTTGCAGAAGATGCATGGCCTGGTTCTCAGAGCTTGTCCGTTCTTTCCAGGACACAGCGGGCCAGGAGCGGTACCGGACCATCACCACGGCCTACTACCGCGGGGCCATGGGCTTCATCCTGATGTACGACATCACCAACGGGGAGTCCTTCAACGCCGTGCAGGACTGGTGAGTGGCTAGCGCCCCCCAGCGAGGCCTCCTCAGCAGCTCCCCCTTGGCGGCTGCCCACGGGGTAGCGTGTTCTCACACGTGTCCTCTCTGGCAGCCACAGGCCAGCGGGGCCCCGAGTGGCGTGTAGGGCCCAATGGGCCCGATCGTGGTGGCGTCCTGTCCCCTGGCTCTGTGGGGCCGGACCATCACTGTGAATCTAAAACACAGCGTGTGGCGGCCGGTCACTGTCTACCATGGGGGCTGGAGCCCAAACCTCAGCCTCGTGGGCCTGGGCGTCCACGCCCAGCCCGGCCTCACTGGCTTTGCGAGTAAAGCTGCATTAGAACAGCCGGCTCGCAGGCTTCGTGGGAGGGACCCCACATGGCAGCTCGCTGCTGCCCGGGCGCCGCGTGCCCCTGAACCTGTGGTTTCCCATCAGGCCCCTCCTGTACACGCTTGCCGCTCCCCTTCTCAGATCTGCCACGTTGTTGCAGGTTTTCTTTAAATTGAAAGGTTTCAAAAGTCTGGGACGAAGGGAAAGGTAACCCAGAGCCGTTCTGACACGGCTGCATCACGTCTGAAAGCCTGTGTGGCTGTGTGGTGCGCCTGGGACTCCTGCCTTGGGTTGCCCCGCCTGGTCGCCAGCTCTGGGGAGGGACGGGCAGCTGGTGGAGGGACAGGCAGCTGGTGGCCCTGCGCCTGAGTCCAGCCCTCAGGGCTGACAGGCGGGTTCTCTACAGAAGAACCAGTTTAGCTCCAGCTTTGGGGGATCAGGAGGTCCCTGAGTTCATTAACACCAAGTGGGCCCGCTGGGGTCAACGCCCTGAGTCCCGAATCAGAGGTGCCTCTCGCCCACTGGGACTCGGGGTCTCCCGCACCGACGGCATTTCCACCCGCCTCAGCCCTGCTTGCCTGACCCTCCTGAGCTCCCGTCCTGAGAGCGTGGCCACCTCGGAGGATGCCCACCTTAGCATCACAGGCCGCACCTTATGACATGATGCGGAGCTATGGGTAGGATGGCTGTTCCCAGGCAGGAAACCTGGTGGGCAGATGGATGTTGTTTAGAACCCACCAGACCAAGGGTAACAGTCTGACCCATCTTCCCGCCTGTTTAATAATTCACTCTGTGCCGTTCAGGGCACCTTAACCAGAAAGAACTTCACCTTCAAACATGCGCACCTTCACCTTTCTCTCCTTTTTCTCCAGAGTAAATGACACACTGAAACGCAGGTGACCTCCGTCAGACAGGAAAGAACTGTAGCCTGAGGGCTGCTGAGAGGAATGGGCATTTGCTCAGTGTTTCCTGACCTCGGTCAAGGTCCAAGGTCCTCTCAGCTCCCCGTCTGGTCATGCTGCAGCTCCGAGGGGTAGTGACAGGGTGACCCCAAGTTCCCACTCCCACCTGGGCATCGGGCAGTCTCTCCTGTCCCGGGATCTGAGCGGTGACATTTCTTTTTTTCTTTTTTCTTTTTTCTTTTTTTTTATTTTTTTTTTTAATATATTTTATTGATTTTTTACAAAGAGGAAGGGAGAGGGACAGAGAGCTAGAAACATCGATGAGAGAGAAACATCGATCAGCTGCCTCCTGCACATCTACTGGGGATGTGCCCGCAACCCAGGTACATGCCCTTGACCGGAATCGAACCTGGGACCTTTCAGTCCGCAGGCCGACGCTCCATCCACTGAGCCAAACCGGTTTAGGCTCTTTTTTCTTTTTTAAGGGAGGGAGGGAGGGAGGGAGGGAGAGAGAGAGAGAGAGAGAGAGAGAAACATTGGTGAGAGAGAAACATTGACTGGCTGCCTCCCGCACAGCCTCAGCGGGATAGAACCCAAAGCCCAGGCTTTGCCCCAACCAGGAATTGCCCAGACCTCTTGGTATCTGGGTGCTGTTTTCTAGTTTCCAACCACTGAGCCATGCCTGCCGGGCAGGGACGACCTTTCTTAGGCTGCTCTGACGGGTATGGGACACTCTCCCTGTACAGACAGCCCAACCTGAACTCGCCTTCGTATTTAGAAGATACATGGCTCCTTTCAGAAACTGAAATAAAAGCCCAGGCACACTGTGTGCCTCCGTGTCTTCTCCACACATGAGCCCAGGCGCGGGGACGTTTTGGGGGCAGGGGAATGACCCAGAAGCCAGCTCTTGGCGTGGGGACAGCATGAGGTGGGCGTTAGGGTTGGCATGCAGACTGTCGGAGGGGAGCCGAGGGCGGGTGCCTCCTGTCTGGCCGAGCTCTGAAGGCGGGAAGCCAGGGCGGGAAGTGCGTCCTGTGGCTCTGCCTGACCTCACGAGGCCGTGGGGGAACGCGAAGGTCCGAGGCAGACCTGGGCTCTCGGATGAAAGCGTTTCCTACACATGTTGCTGCTCATTCTGCGTCATCTGCTCTCTGAAACAGACTTGGTCTGTGCAGTTTTGTCACAATATTTATTGCAAATAATGGCATTTTCTCCCAGGACTCCCTCAGGGTCTCTCCATTTTAATAGACCTTCTTCTCTGTTAAATTAGCTGCCTGTCTTTGGGGGGATTGGCCTTGAGGGACAACGATGACACTGTGAAAAGAGCACATTCTCAAGCCCTGGGTGCTCCTTGTGGCTCCTGGGCGGCTTGGTGGTGCCGTTGCATCAGGCGAACCTGTGGGAAGGAGGATCCAGTGTAGAGAGCAGCCTGGGCTTTGAAATGGGCCCCTTGCTTGCGGCTGCCTGGCCTCATGGTGCGTTCGGGTCGTCGTCCATGGGATCTCCATCAAGGCTGCTGCCCCGCAGTGAGCGCACTCAGTCCCCATGCAGGCACTGGGCCCACCTTCTAATACCCAGGCAGAGCAGCCGCCCTGGGAAGTGAGCAGAGAGACCAAGTCACAGGTCTACACGCTGCAGTCCCAGACACCACCCACCCAGCGTGGGGTCCTGGCCCTGGTGGGGGCTCCGGCCCTGTGATTCCTTCCCCGCTGGTGGAACAGCACCTTTGCAGTTCCATTCGTTAAGGTAACTATCCAGTGACCAGTCGTAAACCACACCCCTGCGCACCTCTCCCACATAAATAAATAGACATGAAAGGAAACTATTCAAAAGAGGAAATTAGAAAATAGCACATTTGTCACAGGAGGGTCCTTTCTTGTTGCCAGAGAAGATGGTCATGGCGTACGGTGTGGGACTCTGTTAGATTCAGACAAAACCGTCCTGTTGCCACTTGGCTGTCCCTTTCTGTACCACCTGTTTCCAAACCCCGAGCAAGAGTCACGCACTTGCACAGCCGCAGAAGTGCCACAGTCCCCGCTCTCGGCCTCCCTCTCAGTGTATTGTGTCCTGTGACCTAATTTTGATCTATAAATATCACACATTTTTAGGACACTTTTCCTTCCCAGAGCAACCACCAGGGGTGCCAGTGAGGGAAGAGAGGCCGCAGAGCCTGAGTGGTTAGCTGGGTGGTTCCCAAACGTTCCCATCCTCACAGCAACTACCAGCTGTGAGTAGTCACAAAGTACGTGCCTGCCCAGAGCCAGGGAAGGCGAAAGGCACAGTCCTCCACGGGCTGGCCCTGACCCCTCACTTCAGACACGAGTTATACATGAGGTCCCCAGGGCCCCCTCACTCCTGACCCCCTGGCTATAACTGCAGGGTTTCCCATGAACCATTTTAGATTTGACAATTCGCTAGGATGACCTACAGAATTCAGGAAAGTGCTGTCCTTACCATTCTGGTTTGTTTCATTATAACAAAAGGATACAACTCAGAACCAGCCAAAGGGAGCGATGGCGACTGCGAGATCGGGAGGGTCCAGGTCGGGGCCCGGCGGTCCTTGGGGAGACGTTGCCATCCGGGGGTTCCCCTAGGTCTGATGCCCAACCTTCATGGGGCGTCACTACGTAGGCTGACTGGTTGCACCATTGCCCCAGGCTGACCTCCTCCGCAGAGTGCTAGCTGTCTGGTCACATGGTTGGTCTTCCTGGCTTGACCACCCCTCCCCAATTCTGATTCCATTAGCATTAACTATCAGGTGAGTCATCTCATTAGCATTAACTATCAGGTGGGTCATCATTAGCATAAACCATCAGGTGTGCTTTGGAGACCCATCATGAATAACAGACACTCCAGTCACTTTGGAAATAGTAAGGCTTTGCAGTGGTTCTCAACCTTGGCTGCACATTAGAATCACCTGGGAATCTTTTTAAAATCCTGATTTCTGGGCCTCATCCTCCGGAAATTCTGTTTCTTTGTTACTAATGTTGTGGCCCCACCCCATAACCAAGAAACAGAATTTCCGAAGGATGAGGCCCAGAAATCAGGATTTTAAAAAGATTCCCAGGTGATTCTAATGTGCAGCCAAGGTTGAGAACCACTGGTTTAGAGGTTACCTCCCAGGAACTAGGGACAAAGACTGACCAGATTCTTTATTATAAAGCATTCCTTTATTTATTTATAAATAATAAGCACATACTATTGTGCCAATCTATAATGCACATTACAAAACACAGAAAACTAGATGCTAAAAATGATGGATTGAATATAGAGTTTTGAATAATATAGTAATGTATTATATTTCTTGTGGAAGAGCACGTTGTAGAAAACGTTCCTAAAGGTGACGGGAGTGGTGCTCACCCGCCACGGCCACACCCGCCATGACGACACCTGTTGGCTTCCCAAATATTCAAATCAGCTTCGTTGCTCTGAAGTGAAACGTAGTGACAAGGCCAGTGTGACAGGGTCCTGTGGATACAGCCCATCAGCTGCTGATGTCAAAATGTCAAAACACTCCTTTTTATGAGCAAATCGTAGAACAACAACTATCTTTACCTCCGGTTCCATCTCTAAGCCCACCTCTCATCCAATGCCTCCCCTCAGCCTGCAGCCTCTGGGTCGCATCTTTGATAGATTTGTTACCTGGCGTTCAGGAGTGAAGGACAGCGTAGCTGTGGCCCCCAGCCCAGCACTCCCTGATTGCATATCAAATAGTTAACTCCTAGAGTGCCAGGGAGCGCAATCGTGCTCCTCTTGTCTTTCGCCAAAAGTGCTGGGAGCGCTATCATAATTTTTTTCCTAATCTGTTGTAAAATCAGCAAAAATGCCTTGGCAGTTTTAGCATTGTTCCTAGGATATTGGTTGGCACTCAAAGGGTTAAGCAACGTGAAAAAATGGATGCTCTGCTAGAATTAAAATTATTTTCTTATCTTTCCGTACTTCATAAACTGATAACTTTAAATATGTATATTAATATGGTAATTTATGTAAATCTTTGTCTTCACAGTTTATATCTGGAGCTGGGTCCTTTCTTAATTGCTAGAGCACAGAATTTTATAGCCCATCAGCTTATGATGTGAAAAGTACCAACACTGACTGAATGTAGATAGCTGGATAAAACAGCTTATTTTAGGGAAAATTTCCTTAAGCTAGAAGGAAAGGTTGTCTTTAAAAAAAGTTCCCTCAAGTGGAAACCAGTGGAGTCAGGGCCCTGGGGAGGGAGGAGAAAGGCAGGAAGGGCTGGATGGTGGGGAAGCTCGTCCGAGGGGCGAGAGGCTGCTGGCCCTGCTGCTGGTGGGGCTTCGAGGCCTCACAAGCCAACAGGGTCCTCGCCCCAGCGTGAGGCAAGCCCCACAGACTGGCACCTGGGGGACTCCACCCTGTCTGCTCGCCTCACCTGACTGTCTTTAAGAAGGGAGAGAATTCCTGCGGACCAGGTGGCTGTGCGGAGCAGAGAGGTCTGTGTGCCTGGCGTCTGCAGACACAGGCCTGGCCTGCCCTGGGTGAGGCCAGGCGGCAGGTCTCCATCGTGGGCACCTCAGCAGCGCCTGACGTCCGAATCGCTGCCCCTGGGCCCCGGCCCCTGGACTGGAACCATCACCCTGGGATCCTGACAAGACCCGGCTCAGGACAACAAGAGCTCTAACCCCAGCAGTTCTAGTCTCGTCGGACCGAACTGGACTCTCATGTGTTAATCTTAACCCTCTGGGGAAGTGTATCTCACATGGAGCTTCTGGCCGTTTGCATGTTTAGGTTTTGCAGACTGGTCTCTATGACCCAGCTGTACGAACAGCCCGTGAAGACAAACAACTCGGTCCCGTGTGTTTTTACTTTGGACGGATCTTGGCGCTACATCATCCCCCCGTTGGCTGAGAAATCCCGTGGCTCAGGTAGAGACGCAGCGTGTGTCTCGGCCAGCAGGACTCAGGGCCCACAGCCTGGCCCAGCAGCAAGGACAGGACCTGCCGCCAGCCAGCTGCCTTCTGCGGCCGGGCCCCTTCCTCCGGGTGAGAAACGGGCAGAGGCACGGGTCCCAGCCAGGGCACAGGCAGACACATGGACTGTTTCCAAGCCTAGGATCAGGTCCCGGGGGTTCTGAGGGGATGTTCTAAGTGGGAGTCATTGTTCAGAGCTCTCGAAGGGCCAAGAAACATTGAGTAAGTAACTGATTGGATGTTTGAAAACATAACTTGAGGGGCCAGTCCTGTGTGTCGAGCAGCAGGGGGCTGGGAAACTCCCTCACGAATCCGGAGTCCACGGAGCAGTGAGCCGCCAGGTGCTGGGAGAATGAGGGAAGGGGGTGCGTGGACGGTGAGCTCTCAGGACTGGACGGCCTCGCTGAGCCCTGTCCCCTGCGTGGGACCGGGAGGGCAGCTCCCGGTGCCTCATGTCCCGCACGCGGCCCCATTAGACGCCTAGAGGCCAGCAGTTCTTGGCCACGAGGCCCGTGGTGGGCACTGGGTTGGGCCTCGTGACCAGCTGGATGTGCTCAGGGGCACAGGCTGGGCCCCTAGGAGTGACTGCTGCCCAGCACAGGAGGAATGGACTTACATCATCGCCTTCTGTGCCGAGGGCAGTCATCTCTGTGTCTAACATGGAAAACTCCTCCCCTGCTGCCTTGCGTTGTAGAACAAACCCAACCAACAAAAACCCTGCGTGTGTGTGTGTGTGACTGTATTTAGGGAGAAAGAAAACACACACAAACGTAGAAAATACGTAAACATGGAGGGGGTTGTTTTGGTTTTGTGTTTCACTTAATGACAACAGATTTTTAATGACTGTGAACGGTCCTGGTAGGGTCGGCCTTAATTGCCATTTGCTGAGTAACCATGGTGACCAGCATCTTGCTTCTGATCCCATTAATCTCGTTGAGTTTAAAGTAAATCCCAAAGGAGCTGCTGCAGCGACTGGGAAATAAATCATTGTTTCACACGCACAGTAAGTGGTGGCAGCCACGTTCTGTACACGTGTGTCCGTGTCCAACAAAGAAGTAAGGTGGTCCCTAGTGGGATTGAAAGCATCCCCCATGCAGGCGAGTCGTTTTACAAAATACAGCAATGATCCAAACAGTGAACATGTGGAAACACGCAGGAGAGGAGGACCCGCTCCCATCCCAACAGGCACACCGTTCACTCCGGGCAGAGATTTTCCTGGGAAGGACTTCAGTCTCAGGATGTGAACGGGAGACAAAGTTTGAGATTCTCTATGAAAAAATGCATCGTTATTGAGATGATAGGGGTCAGGATGCGTCGAGCTGGTTTGGGAGGAAGAATGGCCTCACCTGGGACTGAGACTGTCTGTCTGTGAAGAGATGCTTGCGAGTCAGGAAGTTGGGGTGACCTCCTGAGCCCCCCCGCAGCCCCGGTTGGTGGGAGCCTCGCTGTGAAGCCCTGAGGCTGAGGAACACAGGCTGACGTCCATCGCTGCATGTTGGTTTCCTCACCTCTTCCCGGAGTGAGGGGATGGGAAGGTGTGCACGCTGGCAGTCCTGTGGAGCCCAGACCCTGAGGTGCTGAGAAGGGAGCACCCCACGACCCTGGTGAGAGTTGTGTCGACATCACCAGCGTGGGGTGGGTTTGCCGAGGTCAGAGGAGGCTGATCGCACAAGCACGGGTCCTCCCATCCGGAAAGCCTGTCCCTGACCTTGGCCACCCCTCCTCACAGGGTGACTGCCCCCTCGGGTGACCTTCTCTGGGAATCGGGGATGCCCAGGCCCCCCTGCACCAGGCCAGGCCGTGGCTCTGAAGACACACGGGAGCAGGCGGGCAACTTAAACACCCCGAGGCACCCATTTCAGTCTGAGCTCCTGGAAGCAACCTGTGGGATTCCTTGGTCACACAATGTGAGCACTTGCAGTTCAGGTCCCTCCGTGTGCAGGATCTATTTTACACCTTAGTTCACCGTGGTCCACCATTTTCATGGACCCGCACAGCAGAGGCAAGAGGAAAGCACCGTTTAGATCGCTGCCTCTGCTCCTGGTTATGGGCATGCGCTGCGTCTTGTTGTCGCCAAACGGGTGCGTTACCTCAGGCACCAGAATTAGGAAGCTTACGTCCCCGGATTGTCCTGATAAAACCTGGTGCCCCCTGAGATGGAGCCATGGTCACATTCACCGGATGGGTCCATCTCATCTGAAAGCTGCGCTGGGTCCAGTGCCCTGAGTCAAACCTTCCTGGTGTGCGCCCCTTCCTGGTGCGCCTCCCTCCGCGGCTGGAGCTGTTTGCTTTTCTTCTCTTTGCAAGTTGAGGGAGCTCATCGCTATTTTCCGTTTAATAATCCCGAAGGATCTGGAACTTGCTGGTAAGGACACACACGAGCTTACCTTCTTCACACTTTGCAGATCTTTTCCTGTAAACTTTCATCAAGTATTTTGCTTTTCGACGTGTCCACTCTCTCCTGACCACTCAGTGCGAGGTATGTCTCCCACCGGAGTCTTGTCCTTGACAAGGTCTCCGCCTTCACAAAGGGAGATTGAAGACCTGCTCCTGTGACACCCGAGCTCTGAAGGTCTGCGGAACCCTCTGCCCACCTGTGACAAGCGGTGCGGGGGGTCTGGGCTGCGGACCTGCCTCTCTCCCGAGTGATCCCAGACAAATGGTTCACCCGCCCCAGGACTCACGTTCCTCAGCTGTGAAGTGGGGGTTGAACCCTCTCCCCCTGAGTTACTCTAAGGGTTAATTAATGTAGCGAATATATACGGTTAGAGTAGCACCTGCAAATATTGCCTGTTGGAATTATTATCCAAGTTAAAATCAACAGTTGGTCACATGGAAATTTATTCTGAATTCTAGGTTTCCCCGTTTATAGTCAGTTCAAGCACCAGCCCATTGTATTATAATTTTGATATTGATCAACCTGGCATTTTTATCTTAAAAATGACTATCAGTTCTTATAAATCATTTTAAAAATTACCATTGACTCCCCATTCCTAGGCCCAGTTGACAGGTTGTGTGTGATGGATTTCCTGGAACTGAGGGGTTTCTCAGAAAATGCGACTTTTTCTCCTAAAACAGAGACTTTTTCTCCTAAAGCAGAGACTGTCTGGGCACATTGGGCCAGCTGTGAAGGTGGGTGTGGGAAAAGGAAGGAATCGTCGTAATGTCAGCTCATCAAGTGCAGAAGAATCCTTCACACAGCACCTTTGGTACTTTAATTTTTAAAAACACATTTTTATTGATTTCAGAGAGGAGGGGAGTGAGAGAGAGAAATAGAACCATCAATAATGAGAGAGAATCATTGATGGGTTGCCTCCTGCACGTCCCGCTCTGGGGATCAAACCCGAAACCTGGGCATGTGCCCTGACCAGGAATTGAACCCTGACCTCCTGGTTCATAGGTCGACGCTCAACCACTTAGCCACGCTGGCTGGGTTGGTACTTTCATTTTTGACTTGTTATCCCTGATGAGTACTGATGGGTGATATTTTACTGGACTAAGTAATTCCAAATTTGGGCCTTTTTTGCTGTTACCATCACGTGTGGGATATATTTCTCCTCCTTCATTTTGTGCTGTTCCACTGTCTTCTGATCACTTTTTTGCCTGTTCTTTTTCTTTCAGGTCAACTCAGATCAAAACCTACTCTTGGGATAACGCCCAGGTGATCCTGGTGGGGAACAAGTGTGACATGGAGGACGAGCGTGTCGTCTCGGTGGAGAGGGGCCGGCGTTTGGGGGAACAGCTTGGTAAGTGGCACCGGACGAGGAGGGGAGCTGGCAGTCCCCGAGGCCAGCTGCGTGGGGGAATGGGCTGGGGGAGATGGTCAGCCCGGCCGTGGGAACCCGCACACTCTCCAGGGCGAGTGGGTCCCCCCACACTCGGGCATCGTGAGGATCCAAGCCCCTCACTGAGGCAAACGGGGCTGCCCAACTGTGACCCAGTACGGGCCTCCGTTCTTACTCCAGGAGAAACAGGCTCTGCACAGGGGCTCCCGTCCCCTACATCCTCACGACACTTCCTGCTTGTCCGTTATGTGGTGCTCACCGCCTGTCCTGACCGTGAGGCAGCCTCCCCTGTGGTTGGACTTGCATTTCCTGGTGACCAGTGGCTTTGAGCATCTTTCTTGGACCTACTGGCCATCTGTGCGTCCTCTTTGGAGTCAGACAGGCTACCATTGCGCCACGAGGTCCTAGCTGTGCGTCCTCTTTGGAAACATGTCTGTTCAGATCCCCTGTCCATTTTTAATTGGAATTTTTGCTGTTGAGTTATGAGCTCTTTACATATTTTGAATATTAAACCCTTATCAGGTATATTTGGAAATATTTGCCTCCATTCAGTAGATTGCTTTTTCATTGTATTGTTTCTCTTGCTTTTTAGTTTGATGTCTCCCACTTGTTTTGTTGTTGTTACTTCTGTTTAGATTTTGTTGGTTTTTTGTTCTTGCTTTTATTGAGTTTCATTCTAGTGTCAAACCCAATCATCTTCAAGGTCAATGTCAAGGAGCTTCCCCCGTGTCCTCCAGGGTGTCAGGGTCTGGGTCTCACAGTCATGTCATTCATGTTGAGCTCTTTTCTTCGTGAGCTAAGGTAGCATTCCCGCCCCACTCTCTGGAATGGCGTCCCGTTCACCCAGCATCACTTATGGGGGACGTGTTCTGTGATTCCCGGCTCCGTTGTCATAAAGGAGTGGACGGTGTAGGAAGAGGTTTATTGTTGGGTTCCTGTTTTGTTTCATTGATTTATGGATCCGTTCCTTTGCCAATATCATGCTATTTTGATGGCTGTGGCTTTGTAAAATAGTGTGAATTCATGGAGTGTGATGCTTCCAGCTTTGTTGTTCTTGCTCAGGGTTGCTTTGGCGATTCAGGGTCTTTTTGTGGTTCTATACAAATTTTAGGATCATTTGCTCTCTTTTTGTGAACAATGCCGTTGTATTTTTAAAATAGGAGTTGCACTAAATCTGTAGGTTGCTTTGGGTAGTAGTATGGACATTTGAGTTCTTCTAATCCACGAGCATAAAATCTCTGCATTTATTTGCGTCATCGTACTCTTTGCGTGCGCCATCACACTCTCTTCAGTCACAGGTCGTTCACCTCCTGGTGAAATGTATTCCTAGGCAGTTTGTTCTTCATGCCGCAGTAAATAGGGTGTTTTCTTAATTTATTGTCTGATAGTTCATTATTGGTGTATAGAAATGCAGTGGCTTTTACAAATGTTTTTTATTGATTTTTAGAGACAGAGGAAGGGAGAGGGAGAGAGAGATAGAAACATTGATGAGAGAAACATTGATTGGTTGCCTCCTGCAGGGCCCCTGCTGGGGATTGAGCCCGAAACCCGAGCATGTAGCCCTGATCCGGCACAGAACCAGCAACCTCCTAATGTCCAGGTCCACGCTCAACCGGCTGAGCCACACTGGCTGGGGTCTTCAAAATTTTATAGACAAGTCTCTGGCCCTCCCTAGCTGGTTTGGCTCAGTGGATAGAGTGTCGGCCTGCGGACTGAAGGGCCCCAGGTCAAGGGCACATGCCTGGGTTGTGGGCTCGATCCCCAGTAGGGGGCGTGTAGGAGGCACCCGATCCATGATTCTCTCATCATTGATGTTTCTATCTCTCTCTCCCTCTCCTTTCCTCTCTGAAATCAATAAAAAAATATATTTTAAAAAAAGTCTCTGTTTCCTGATCATCATCGACTGAAGTGCTGGTTTCCCATGATGCTGGTGTATGTGGCTGGGAAGGTAAAGGTTTCTAAGAACAAGGCCATTTGATTGGGAGGTAACATCCATCATGTGACTTAGAGGATAGGCTGAGGTATGTGCATCTGTGGCTCTGGCTTAGTGCAGGAGCTGGAACACCCGGGCACACAGGTGTGGGTGTGAGTGGCCTGACACACGGGGATTGACTGAAGGCACAGATTTCACCTGGAGGAGGAGGAGTTATTGCACAGTTTCACGCACAGTTGCCCTGAATCCAACTACAAGCTGAAGTAACAGTAGTGTTGGTTTTTATCCTGAATATTCAATTTTATGACAAATAGCATCTCTGGTTAGTGAGAGGAAGCCTGCTTTTCAGAGGTTTTTACAGTTGACCCTCGAACAGCACAGGCCTGATAATCCAACCCTCAGACCGTGTCATGGGGTGACCCCTCCAGCCAGGCTGGATCCATGCAGGGCTGTTACCATACGGCATTCTCTACCTGGGCGTCTCCACCTGGGACACCTCCTCCTCTCCACCTGGGTCCCAGGTTAGATTAGGTCAAGGCACTGAGAGCTCTGCCTGGTGGGCCAAGGACCCTTTTGTTGACCTCAAAGTGTGCACCTGCAGCAGTGAAAGCAGTCACATCGGACTAAGACCGTGCGGTGCCGGGCTGTCCTAATGGCCAAATCCTTCTGATGCCACTGGGGTCAGTGCCTCCAGAGTCAGGCCGATAAGGAAGGACGTGTGGGCAGAAGAGATGAGAGAATTGGACCAGCAGCTGGGACGGTGTGCTGAATTGAGGAATCGTTTTCTCCAAAGTCTCAGGCAGGGACCCTGGCTTCCTGAGTAGGTCCCGGCATCTGTGACAGGAAACAGCCCCGTGAGCACTGGGAACCCCCCCGAAGGCCAGTCCACCTGCCATCTTTACACCTGACACGTGGACCACCGGGCCCTGTGGGCTGCACAGACAGAAGAGAACTCTTCCCACTCTCGCCGTAAAGAAATGCAGAATGTAAAGAGAAACACTAGCCAAGGAGGGTTTGAGGTGTCCACCCCTATCTCACAGACCCTGGCTCTACTCAGGGTTCTTCAGCTCAAGTCCTGCCATTAGTCACAGGGACTTTAATCGTGGACACAGAGTAGCCAGTGAGGTTCAAGCTCAAATGAGCCATCTGACTATCCAGTATTGTCACCAAGTTAGACATTCTAACACATGAGAATGGCTTTTTGTTCTCTACCCTTCGATACTATTTAAGAAGTAAGTGGTTCTGAGGCGCCAGAGGGATTTTGACATGGATGTAAAATGTTAGTCCATTCTTTGTCCTTGGCCCAAGGAGCTGGGGTGAAGCCACAGGATTTAATCATTCTGAGTCCGTGGCTCCTCTGAGATGGGGCCAGATATAACCAAGGATTTATAGGGTAAAATGCAGACTAGATTAGGAAAGTGTTTCTGTGTTCAACCCAGTACACCCCAGATCAATGTCCCCAAATGGACCAGAGCAGCCCATGGCAACTGATTGGCAAGCTCAGGGCGGAAGTGGGGGTGAAGGGCATGAAGGGAGAGATTGGCTTGTGTCCGGAGCAGCGCACAAAGCCGCCTGGGCCCAGGTGCCGTCACACGTCCTAGAAGTGTGAAACTCACTGCATTTTCGTACTTGCCACTCTAGCAGCTCATTTGAAATTTCTCAGGGTCCTTCCCTAGATGAAGGGCATTGCTGCCGATCGGGGCCGAGCTGAAAGCCCCGGCGGCTAATCCCTCTCAAGCTTTTCCTGCAGGAGGCACAGCAGCTCCAGGGAACTCAGTGGCACGGTGGCGCCCCCTGGCGGCCGTTCACCAAGCCCCCTCCGACCTTCCACTGGGGACACAGACAGAGCTGCCCAGGAAATCCAAGCTTTGAATGAATGGAAAACTATGAGAATTAATTATTTTCGTAGGGTCCAAAATGGGGAAAGAAGAAAATGCCAAAGAACATCAGTGCTAGAAAAGATTTCACGAGGTTCCACGGTGGCCAGGGTTGGGAAGGAAGGAAAGATAAACCCTGTGTTGAGGATCCTGAGTGTTGGCTCCTGACCTGGCCGAGGGCTCCTTCAGTCTGTGCAGCCTCGCTGGGAGCACAGGTGAATCAGAGAGAGAAAGCGCCTGAGCATCACCGAGCCCAGGGTTTGTGGAAATGGCAGCGCATGCCTCCCCCCAGACCCCCGCCCTGTCCCACCGTCCCCGCCCTAACCACACCCAAGTCCCTTCCCTTCTGGCAGAATGACCGGGCTCTGCTTCCTGTGTTCCCTGCAGGGTTTGAGTTTTTTGAAACAAGCGCCAAGGACAACATTAACGTCAAGCAGACCTTCGAGCGCCTGGTGGACGTCATCTGTGACAAAATGTCAGAGAGTCTAGACACTGAGCAGGCCGCCACCGCTGCGAAGCAGAGCGAGAGGCTCAAGGAGACGCCGCCCCCGCCGCAGCCTGGCTGTGGCTGCTAACCCCTCAAGGGCAGCGGGGCCTGGCACCAGCCGGCAGCATCCATGGAAGGCCGGCAGCCTGCACTCACTGCCGCAGGGAGACGAGGGAGAGCTGTGTGTCGATGGCTGTTCCATGCACTGAATTCTTGGGCAACTCCCTGAGTGGAAATGTGGCAAATACGTGATCTTAAACCCATGAGACTCTCCACCCACCCACATCTGGTATTTGCATGTGATTTGTTCTGTGTCTTCTAGGGTCTTTATGTTTCAGATTTCTTCTCAGACTGGGCTACTGCTGGGACCTCAGGCGGCTATACATGCACTTCTGCTGACTTTTGTGCCATGGGTTCGAATTCTGCTGGTCACTGGAGGGGATGGTAACAAGGCCTTGCTTGTGTTGGGAGGGGAGACGGGAGATCTCAGGATATCTTGTTTGCTTTTAATTGAAAATCAAGTGGGCACAGGACTCATATTTTCTGAGTAAATTACCCATTTTCAGGGCAGGTTACTGTACAAGGCAGGTCACTGTGTCTCGTTTTCAGTGTTATTAATAACTGGGAGACCAACTATAAAGAAATTGAAATATTGTTTAAGGCCCTTGGCAAGATTCCTAAGAGATGGGTATTCACCTGCCTGGAACTGGTCTGAACGGATCGTAGCTTAGATGTTTAAATGAGGGGCACCCTCACCAGGCCTGCTCTTTCCACTGATGCTTCCCAACAGGCTGGGCATTGGAGGGCACTGGCCGGGTGGCCGGGAGGATTGCACTGAAGGTTATGCAATAGGCGTGCTGACAGCAAGGGTGTATGTTACGGGGGAGATTGCATTCTACAGTGAGGAGCTGTAGAATGAGCTCCCCCATCACTTCACTAGATAGCCACCCATAACATGCACTGCCCCATAACACACTACCCCCCATGACATGCACTACCCCCCATAACACACACTACCCCCCATAACACACACTACCCCCCATGACACACACTACCCCCCCCATAACACGCACTACCCCCATAACACACACTACCCCCCATAACACGCACTACTCCCATAACATGCACTGCCCCCATTACACATGGTAGCTCCATAACAGGCAGCAGCACCAGCCCTCTGGCTCAGACCCGGGCGCAGATTGAAGCTCCTTGGAGCCCTCCTCCTGCAGGGCACAGCTCCCGATGCCCGCGTTTTCCTGATCAGAAGCCGTCTGAACAGGATCCCCATGGACCCAGGTTGGGAAAGAGACCACTGTCCTCTCCACCTTTTCCATCAGCCGTTCATCCTTCTCGAGCGTCTCCCCATCCCTGCCTCCGTCACCAGATGCTCCGAGTCCAGGAGACACTCAGCACCCAGCAGCAACGTGAGAGGCAGGAGGGCACTGTCAACACCGCCCCCCCGACACCCCGACACCCTGAGACGCCCCGACATCCCGACACCCTGAGACACCATGGGTAACGCAAACCCCAGCTGCTGCTCGGACTCACTGGGTGGCCCAACCCCGCCCAGCGCGCCGACAGCAGGCGGCAGAAGGCACGAATTAGGAGGAGGAGGACAGCCGAAATGGGAGGAGGACAGCCGCTGAGGTGGGCTCACCCTGTTTTGGGGCTCGTGTTGAAGATGTTTCTCCACTTTTCTAAAGTAGAGAATCTTCCTGTGAAAGTGCTGGTGGGAGTGTATTGGGCAGCGGTGGGCAGGGACAGGACACGTCTCAGATGCCGGAGACCACGGGCGAGCTGCATAGGGATCGTCGGGGTGACTGGACCGCGGCTGAGCTGCGTAGGGATCATCGGGGTGAATGGACCGCGGCCGAGCGTCTTGCCAAGGAGCATCTGTAAACTCTGTTTTCCACCGCAAGGGAACCTTGGTGTGGGTTTCATCGAGGGAGAAGTTTGCAGGAAGGACCCCACGGAGCTGGAGTGAATGGCACGGTGTGTCTTCTGTGATGTGTGTGGGGAGAGTATTCTCCATCTGACCTCAGCGAGGGATCCTCCTTCTAAAGTCAAATTTGGCAAAAAAGGATCCAGCCCAGGGTTAACTAAGGGAGCGCCTGTGTATGGCATCAAGTTATATGACATATCAATTATCGCACTGTTGTTCCAAGGGTTTTCAGCCTTTGGCCATGTGTGCCCCCCCCACACACATGCACACACATGCACACGCACGCGCGCACGACACCTCCTACCTGCTCCCCATCTGCCAGCAGCTTAAACAACCAGAGGTCATTTTTACTAACGGCCTCACTAAATGCGTATTCAAAAGATGAAGACACCTTAAAACAGATGCCATTTAGCTTGTGAATGCCAGACATGCATCTTTTGTCCTTGATGCTATTCAATTAGTGTTTCAACTGGATTATTCTCCCTCTGGACACCTATCACCTGCCCCCCCCCCCCCCTTACTTTTAGAGACAAACCTGATGGATCTGAGGAAATACGTCCGAGTGCTCTGATTTGGGGACGTTGCCTTCGTTCCTAAGGGAGCGGAAACATTGGACTGAAGTTGTTTTGTCAAATAGTCGCCCATGAAGCAGATTCGCATCTCAGCCTCTGGACGGTGGGTGGGTGTGGAAGGTGCTGGGGGTTAAGTCCTAATTGGGAAGCTCCAGGCACCCCCCACGGCCCCTGCGAAGGCTCACTTGGGCAGGAGGAGCTCATGCGGCCGCTCCGCCAGCAGCTCCTCCTCGTGACCTTTCAAAGTCTCCAGGCTCCTCCTCAGGGTCCCCAGGCGTCCGTCCCTCTGCTGCCTGGTGCATCCTGCAGGCCCTGGGGACTCCGTTAGAAATGTGTCCAGACGCCACCAGGCTGTCTCAGGGCTGAGGGAGCAGCTGCCTGTGGAAAGCAGATAATTTTGAAGTCATGACTAAAAACCCTTCTAGACCAAAGTGTTTATTCAGAGTTTTCACATCGTATTGAGATGCTCTATCAGGCGTCTTGGGAGCTGGCCTGTGTCTCTCTAGAATCCTCCCTATGTGAGTGCATGTGTGGTTCCAGGACTCTTCCCTGTGCTCTGTCAGCATGCTCGGGGCCTTTCCAGTGGCCGGAAGGTGCAGCCCCACAGCTGTGGCAGCTTCGCCCCTCTGTGCACAGCAACTGCACCCCACAGGTCACCAGGACAGCACCTGCACCCCACAGCTCACCAGGAAAGCACCTGCACCCCACAGCTCACCAGGATAGCACCTGCACCCCACAGCTCACCAGGACAGCAGCTGCAACCCACAGCTCACCAGGATAGCAGCTGCACCCCACAGCTCACCAGGACAGCAGCTGCACCCCACAGCCCACCAGGACAGCAGCTGCACCCCACAGCTCACCAGGATAGCACCTGCACCCCACAGCTCACCAGGATAGCACCTGTACCCCACAGCTCACCAGGATAGCAGCTGCACCCCACAGCTCACTAGGACAGCAGCTGCACCTCACAGCTCACCAGGAGTCTTGCTGCTGAGTTGACCGTTAGGGTCAGCTTGTTAGAGTTCTTAATATTTTAGGTGAAGTTTGACCAAAGCCAGTCAAAGACATGAGCCTGTTTTATGTTCTGGAATGAAGTGAAACAGATTGAGTAAAAGATGAAGTTGATGACCAGAAAAAAGCATCAGTATCCCTGCAGTGCACCAAAGGCTCCAGATGCCAGAAGTATAGCCTCCCCTAGGGCAAAGCCAGGTCTGGGGAACGTGACTAAGACATATCTACCCATTGTTATTGGTGTCTCATAAATAAACGTTTTCTCTTGAAAATTTTTACAGAAATGCTTGACACTTCAGTCAAATACGATTTCCCTTTGGTAGATGAAAATATTTGCACTTGGGCCACAAACACAGTGTTGCCTCTCCCACATGCACACACATGGGTGCATGCACACACAGAGACACATGTAGAGGCACGTGCACACACATGACACACGTTTTATGAAGGGAAATGCCTGTATTCGGCGCTCTCAGTGCCAGAAAAAAGGGAGCTTTTGCTACACTCCAGCTGTCACTCAACAACTATTTAAATCGGTCTATAAAATAGATTCTTTGCACTGATTTGGGTGTCTGTGCACATAATTGGTTCCCATTAAAAAGAGGATAGAGCGAAAACACATTTTGCAAACATTCTAGACAAAATACATTATTTCTGAAATTATGTTAGAGCTCACGTATTGAGACCAGGCCATCTGTTTGTGGGCAAATCAAGCTTTATTTGCCCAGCTCTCTCCGCAGCTGCTGGGTGTGTGTCACTGCACGTGTTACAGCGCAAGTTGGAGGTGGCATTTGTGTTCCCCTCCCTCCCATCCACATCGCCCTGCGCTGTCCTGGGCATCACCGGCTGAAGTGAGGCAGGGCTTTACCTAGTATTTCATTTGCCTGAGTTCATACTTCCCTTTACTGTGGACAATTGAGAGTTGGCTGTGACTTTATATCTGAATGAAAATTTTCCATATCCATGTTTTTGGTGGCCGGGGTCGCTGTGGCTCATGACTGTGTACCTAATGGCATGTGGTGTGTGAGCTGCAGGCCCCTGCCTTTCAGGGAGGTGAGCGTGTCCTGCGTCCGTCCAGGTTTTCTGCACCGTTAGGATGGTTTCCAAGCGTTGTCCCATCACCCCTAGGATGTGTGCTGAATGGAAGTTCTCCGTGTTCCTGTGAATATGTCGTTAATGTCAGATGTGATGTGACGCCGTTGGACTGTCCACATGTACAACTATTAATGGTGTTTGTGGAACTGAAATGTCTTAAATGTTGCATGAAATATGTTACAAAAATAGATTTTTTTTCTATTTTCAACACCTCAGAATTGAGGGTTCATGGGCCAATAAGTGCAATATTTAATGACTTATTCAGTGTATATAAATGAGTGAAAGTGAATTACAGCAAATGTGCGAAATGCTGTGGGTGGCGTGTGACCTACTCAAATGATCTCCTGTAGCCGTGTGTGTCTAGCGTGTGCTTATACAGTCAGTACCTTATTGTGTTGTGTGAAGCTCCTCTGTGCTACCTCAAAGTTCTTTATTTCCTATAAGACCAAACGTCTAGTTACCTGCAAATATATGTCAGTTTTGCCTTTTAGAATTGTGGGTTTTGTTTTTAAGACAGAATGGTTGTTAGTTTACTTTATATAGTAATTTTCTTGTTAATTCGGAATTCTCCTTTAGCCTTTTTTAAGAGGCCAATTTAGCTACCTAAGAAAATATATGCACATAAGAAAAAGTCGTTTTTATTCTCAGAAATGTTGATCACATGTTCTGTCTACTAAGAATTTTCACTCTTGTATTTGTATGTATACTTATTGTAACTCAATCTTGTATTTTGTTTTCAAATTTAACACTGTCAACCCGGGAATCCTAAAATATTCGTATCTGTTTAGGTTGTAGCTAATGTCATTTCAGTTCAGTTCTCAATTGTCCGCACCAGGAAGGTGGAGACAGAAAAGCCAGGTTCCCTACATCACTTTGGTATCGCAAAGCCTCACGTGCACCCTCAGCCCTGTCAGCCTCACAGCCATGGCCTAGAACGCACTGCGATGCAGAGTCCAGCCATGAGGCCTGGTGGCTGGTTCTGACTGTTTATGTTTGTGACGTTTAAAGTAGGGCAATGACCTTGAACTCCTCTCTGCCATCCCAGTTTTTAGGCACAGCATTCATCTTAAAATCGTGCTTTGCCTTCCCATTCACCCAGCAAAGGACATCACGACACCTCGAGCAGTGAGGACTTATTCACTCAGAAGGAAAAGAGCGGTGTCTAGACGGCGTGGTCATCGGCACCTCCTGCAAGGCCTCCACTCCTTCCTCGGCCGGGCCATCGCCTGTGAGGACCTTCCAGTCATGTCCGATGGCTCTGGGCGCCCACTGGGATGTGCGCCTGGCTCATCCGGGATAGCCGGAAACGCGTACTCAGCTCTCAAACCCACTGAGGAAGTTGGTGGTTAGTGATGGCCCTGTAACAAATTAAGGAAAAATGAAAGCAGGTAGCCAACATTAGAATCATAATTAAGAGTGTGTTAATGTTTAGTCAGTCATTGCACAGCTGCTGAGTCTCATGTGCCCAGCACTCAGCTTAGTGACTGAAGGGGGAGGCCGGGCGGGGGGGGGGGGGGGGGGGCAGGATGTGTCTAAATGTGAAGTTAGGGCAGGAGTGGGAGCACAGGGTGTGGGGCCTGCCGGACGGGAGGGAACGACCCCATTGAAGACGTCAGATGTGACCCCGGAGAGAATCTGACCTGAGGAGATTGTGCCCAAGACACAGCAGGATGGGGACAGATGTTCTTCGTGAACAGAAAGACAACAGCCGGCAGCTGTAAGCCATTGTTCTCGCAGCCAAACGGGCCTGTGAAGCCCATCCCCCCCCCCCCCCCCCCCACGAGCAAGACAGGCTGCAGCACCGTCGCTGTCTGTGCTGCGCAGCCCCAGACATGGCCATGGGACACGCATTGTTCTGAAGACATGGCCACAGAACACGCATTGTTCTGAAGACATGGCCACGGGACACGCATTGTTCTGAAGACAAATTAGAAACATTGACATCGTTCCCAGGTGCCAAACACAAGGGTTCCCTTCACTGTCACCCGCAGACAGCGCCATGGCGCCCGGAGGTGTGCCAGTGCTCCCTGTGCCACAGAGTGTTGGGGTGCACAGACGAACCCCCTCTGTGATGGCACCGGCTCCCTGGGGCACTGTGGAGCGTGTCCTGAGCAAATATTAGCAACAGCTCCGTGCTTTCCCCCAGTGGGTGCAGCGTTTGGTTGAAAACTGCTACTCGGCACACAGCCCCCACCTGTCCACGGGGGCTCCTGTCTGGTTCAAAGCTATAAAGTGTATTCACATTGTGAAGTTTCAGTTCTCTCTACTGAAATTAATTGTGTAATAATGGTATGTGCTGTATTAGGTATTAAACTTGTATGTGAATTCTGTATAGAAAGTGGTTTTGGTTCTTTGGATTTATCCTGTTTTAATTTTTGGAGATTACAATAAATATCTTAAGAGATTATATTCCTGAATTTCCAGCCTTAGTCTGATAATTTGTATATACCCCTTCAGTTGGTATTATTTTTCATCTTAGGATGCCTATTTCCATTTCTCATGACGATCCTCGTCTAGGCCCAATGCTGAGAAACCTGAGACAGAGTGTGAATACATTTTTATTTAGGGCTATGGGTTGTCAACATCTTTGAGATGCAGGCTGGGCTGAGGGACCCCCTCACCCCACAGGAATTTTGTGCACTGGGCCCCTAGTCCTATATAATAAAAGCCTAATATGCTAAGTGTACAGTCGTCTGTTCATTCGTTCAACCAATCAAAGCATAATATGCTAATGATATGTTAAGGTTGCTCAACCACTTGCTAGGACATGCACTGACCAACAGGGGGCAGACACTCTGACCGGTAGGCTAGCTTGCTGCTGGGGTCTGCCAGATTGGGACTGAGTGAGATGGGCCAGACACACCCTGGAGCCCTCCCACAGTCCCTCCCCGGCTGGCCAACCTCCCACGTCCCACCCCAGCCTGGTGATCATGCATTGGTGGGGTACCTTGGCCTGGCCTGCACCTTCTCACAATCGGGGACCCCTGGAGGATGTCGGAGAGCCCCTTTTGGCCCAATCCCGCTCAACACAGGAGCTGCCCCCTGGTGGTCAGTGCCCTCTCACAGGGGGAGTGCTGCTCAGCCAGAAGCTGGGCTCATGGCTGGCCAGCGGAGCAGCGGTGGTGGGAGCCTCTCTCGCCTCCATTGCAGCACTAAGGATATCCAACTGACATCCCCCAAGGGCTCCCATACTATGAGAGCATACAGGCCAGGCTGAGGGACCCCCCCCCCCCAGTGCATGAATTTCGTGCACCAGGCCTCTAGTGTGGTGATAATAGCAAAAATGCCCAAATTTGGAATTAATTACTTCAGTAAAATTTCTCCCATCAGGTACTCATCATGGATAATGTGAGTCAAAAATGAAAGTACCAGCCCAGCTGGCATAGTTCAGTGGTTGAGTGTTGACCTATGAACCAGGAAGTCAGGGTTCGATTCCCAATCAGGGCACATGCCCTGGTTGTGGGCTTGATCCCCAGTGGGGGGGCGTGCAGGAGGCAGCCCATCAATGATGCATTGGGGCGGGGCGGGGGGGGAGGGTCCCTCAGCCCGGCCTGCAATGATGCCAGTGTCCCTCGCCCCGGCCTCCGGCCTGAGGCCCCTCCCCTCCCACCTCGTGGCCAGCTCAGGGGTCATCTCCATACCCACAGGCCTGTGTCTGCTGCCCATTTGGATGTGAGGTAATGACACCAGGAGGCAGACTGGCACTTGACTTCATAAGGAGCTAGTGTGTTAGGGAGAAAGGCCTCCATTCTCGGAAATCCTGAAATCCCAGACTGTGCAAACTTGCAAGAGCCTGAAGGCTGACTGTGAGCAGGGGTTTTCAAACTCTTTTCACACTGAATACTTTTTGCAAACCAAGTCTTACCTGAGGCCATTATGTAAAACAGATGCTAAGTTGCCTGGGGCGCAGGGGTGGGTGTTGAAGGCCCCTGGGAGATGGGACCAGAGTCTCCTTTCCCCTGTGGCTCTGGGTCCAGGGAAATGGGGGTTGGGGTTGGTCCTGGCGGTGGGGTGGGGCCTAGCCAGGAGAGGGGGAGCCCTGGGGAGAGTCCAGTGGCTATTTACTAACTGTACAGAAGGGCTTCAGTATCTTCAGAACTGTGTGTTCATGCCCGAGAGGCTGGGCCAACAAACTCATCTTTCACAGCAAGAAGTCAGTCTATACACACAAAAATGAAAATATGTCTTTGGGGAAAATCATAATGACTTCAACCTTTAATGTTCCCACTGTTTCTTTCTATTTTTTTTAATCTTGAAGGGAATTTTAGGGGAAGTATCTCTTGTCCAGAGGAAATCGTTATATGAATTCACCAATTCCACCAACTTCTCTTTCTTTTCTTTTTTTTTTTTAAAAAATACATTTCTATTGATTTAAGAGAGGAAGGGAGAGGGAGATAGAATCATTGATTGGCTGTCTCCTGCTTGCCCTGTACTGGGGGTTAAGCCTGCAACCCGGGCATGTGCCCTTGACTGGAATCGAACCTGGGACCTTTCAGTCCACAGGCTGACGCTCTATCCACTGATCCAGACAGGGTAGGGCAATTTCTCTTTCTTTTGTGAAATTCAAGTAAAATTAAATTTAAAATTGTATCTGAAATATGGTTGTTATGGTTTTATAAAAGTATCTCTACCACATGTTCATTACCCAGGCATCTGTTTTTGTATTTGCATATTAAGTTGTCCAAAATGATTCTCACCTAATGTGATTGGTTATTTTGGCTGGTGGGACTGAGGTTGTGTTTCTACCTCTATCTTTGGGACTTCAGCATGTTTGACTGAATTCTGTATAATGAACAGATGCCAGTTTTTATCTTAGTGTGATTTTTTTTTCTTAAAAAGAAATACAGGATGAAAACAGCAATGAACTATTCATTCAGCAAATATTGATTGAACAACTTGATGCCAGGTTGCTATGGTTACTGATAAATTCAGGTTTTTGGTTACTACACCTTGTAAATCTTTTCTCCCAGGTCTCCCTGCAATTATTGTGTGCTGCCACTAGGTGGCAGTAGACACAGCAGTATTTTGGGTTTGGGAGGTGGTTTTTTTTTTTTTTTTGATCAGATAAGACTTTGAATTCCAGATTTGTAAGTTCTCATTGGCAATTTTTGTTGTTGTTGTTAATTGTGCCTATTGTATATATGTTTTAAATCTCACAAGGTATTATTTAAAACAGTCAATATTTAGTTTTATCTACCTTTTACTTTGTCAGTCTTTATTCTGACTTTATTGACTGCCTTTACCTGGGATCGTTTTCTCTCTGCCTGATGAGCATTTAATGTTTATGTTGAGTACTGAGTGAGCTGGTAAGAAATCCTGACACCTCTTAGTGATCTAAAACCATCTTTATTTCGTGTTCCCTTCTGAAGGGTCTCTAGCCTAGTGCTTCTTGCTCAATTTAACATAATTGTGCCTTTTCTCCTGGCTACTTTTAAAGTCCTCTCTTTAACTCAGCGGTTCTCAATCTGTGGGTCGCGACCCCTTTGGGGGTCGAACAACCCTTTCAGGGGGCCGAAGGACCCCCTTAGGGGTCGCCTAAGACCATCGGAAAACACATATCTAATTACTTATTGTTTTTTTGATTAATCACTATGCTTTAATTATGTTCAATTTGTAACAATGAAAATACATCCTGCATATCAGATATTTACATTACGATTCCTAATAGCAGCAAAATTACAGTACTGAAGTAGCAACAAAAATAATTTTATGGTTGGGGGTCACCACAACATGAGGAACTGTATTAAAGGGTCATGGCATTAGGAAGGTTGAGAACCACTGCTTTAACTTCATTTTTTCACCAATTTGGCAGTGAGCAGCCAAGGGTTCTTAGAGCTCCTTGAGTCTGTGCCTTGATGTCTTTTGGAAATAGCCATGATTCCTTCAAGTATCACTTCTGAACGTGCCTGGGCTGGTGCTGTGGGCAATCTGTCTGGACAGTCGCTCCCCGCTGGTCCCTGGAGATGCTTGGGTGCCGGGAGCCGGTCCATCCTTGCTGTTTCAAGGGACCTGGCATATATGGCATACTGTTCTTAATATGTTTGCTCACCTTCTTGGCACTGTGTTTTAACCAAGGTCTCCTCTCTGAGAAAGGTTGTTTCCCCAGGTAGGGATTTTCCCCTGAAGTTAGGGAGGGAATAAAACCCCTCAACTAAGTGCCAGGTGGGTAATTAATCACTTTAACTATGAACAATCATGCTTAAGCTACATAATCTTTACTCCCTGGAATGGAGATAAGAAACGCCCTAGCCTTTGTAATAGAGATTGATAGGATTGAATCAACTGGTATAAATACAGATGTAACAAGACAGCAAGACACAGAACTTAGAACACAGAACTTAGAAGACAGAACTTAGAACACAGAACTCAGAAGACAGAACCAAGAGAGACAGAACCTAGGCACAGAACCTACACAGAACGTTCTCTAGAGACAGAAGAACTTCGCTGGAGAGAACATGGCAAAAGATCCTGGACAGAAACTGGCCTCAGAACCTAGA